ATGATTTCATGAGAAACCGAATAACAAAAAACAACGAAATGCTGCTTTTTTCATTGAGATATTGAAGAAACATAAAGACGGCAATTGTAAACCTCGAGTTATATTGTTGACAACTAGTGGGCCCTCCAAATCCTATTCTCATAGATAGACAACCTTCGCTGTACGGGACCACGGAGCATCGTCATACGTTCTCAAACGAGGCGTGACAGTTTTCTCACACTAATATCAGCTCGTGCCATATGTGTTGGCGTTTCCACCACAAAGGCCGGCCTGAATCTCGACGTCATTCGTCGCACAGCCGTGTAGCACAGCAGCCGCGGGCTGCAGCCGCCGTCTCTGACACTCTAGGCCGCTGAACATGACGGCACAGCCGCTGGCCTGTCACCGTGTTTAGTCACCTTTCGTCAGTGCCGGCAGCAAACAACGACACGTCGGCCGCAGCTGTGTTCGCAAAAAAAAAACTGGCTAAAGAAGACCTAAAAGAATCCGGACAAGCGCTACCACCTCCAACGTTTGCCACTATATCCACCCCCTCTTCGTTAGCTCCACCTCTGCCACAAAACATCCACCTTTCCCCCTTTCTCTCCCACTACTCACACCGCTACCCGACCACCTCTCGCTGCCGTTCCCCACCTGCTCACCCGGGTCCCCACAGCCGCTGGCCGTGCTCGATGGAGCGTGTCGTATGCCGGTGCCGGGCTGGCCGGCGGCGCTGCGTCCCGTTACCTGTTAGCGGTCTGACCTCGAGCCGGTGTCTGGTGACCCCGTGATACACACCGGTCCTGGGGTCAGTAGGCTCGTGACGACTAATCACGTGACCACGGAATTGGTTCAAAGGTCAGTGGGTTCGTGACGGCTGACACCGTGACACAAAGAGGTCTTGGGGTCAGACGGTGTACCGTGATACGTGTTTACCGGTCCTGAGGTCAGACAACTTACTGTGATATCCATTTACCGGGCCTGAGGTCAGATGTTTAACCCGGCCGGGCCCGGGGGGTAATCCCAACCACCGCAGCCCGGGGGGGGCGTTTTTCGCCCCCCCTGTCTAACTCCGTAAATAAGGGAGCTACGGAAACAAAAGCGATACCAAACGAAAGGTCCTTACGAGACGATTCTAAAGCACCTAAAATTTTTGACCTCAGGTCAATTTTCAAGGTCAGAGGTCAAGGTCAAAGGCAAAAACCGGCACATGTGTAGTGATCTCAAAGTAAGCCTTCTAGAAGACGGCAGGCGGCATCAAACCGGCAAAATTGGGTGTCAAACGGAAGAAGAGAATCTGAGGATTCTGAAAATGTGCTCAAAGTGAAAGGTCAAGGTCAAGGTCACGCTCAAAATTGACCTCAAACTTGGCACTTTTTCGCACATCTTGCGTGCTAACCTCCAAGATGTCTTGGAATGTTTTGAGGCTTATCAGTTCCCTATTTGTGGTTCATCTTACGATACAAGGCTGCTCAAAGGTCAAGGTCACAGAAGAGTATCCTTGCTAGAGGCTATTTCACTAATTCAAGTTAGTAATAATAAATAAGACAATTTTGCCATCCGGAAGCTCTAAATGAAAACTTAGAGGAAAATAGATGCCAGATTCGTGATCAGCGGGTACAAATCTATCATAAACGACCTTTCATGTGTCAAGGTCAACCAAAGGTCATTCGAGGTCACATGAGGTCAACATAAAACTTGACCTTTTCCGAACAAAATATATATCATTCGACGCGGCTTGACAAGGCGAATGCAATGGTACCACTGCCGTAGCTCTAGGACCATTTTTGTCGAAGTTATTTGCGAAAAACTAAAACCACATTTCGGGGTCGTTGACCTGACCTCTGACCTCAGGTCACCAAAACTATTTTTCTATTTTTCTCTAGGTCAAACGCTATACAACCGTGCTCGTAATTTGTATTTATCTCTAAAACTCTATTTTTAGCAGCTATTTGAAGTTTGCGTCTGTGACGCCGAAGTTTGCCGTGCAGGGGTCTAGAAAAATGGACCTTGTGACGTCATCAAGGGGGCTAGGTCCAAATTTTTTACTTCAGAAGATGTCAAATTGATGGGAGAAAAGGTACTGAAAGTTTCGCTTTCCTATCCCTAAGCGTTCGGGAGCTATCGCAAATATTCGCCAGGGGGGGGCGAAAAACGCCCCCCCCCCGGGCCCGCGAGGGTTAACCATCGTGGTATGCATTTACCGGTCCTGAGGTCAGTGCGTTCGTGAGTGCTGACACCATGATACACACTACACAGAGATCCTGAGGTCGGCGGTCTGTGACAGCTAATCACGTGGCACACCGGTCCTGGGGTCAGTAGAACCCGTGACGGCTGGCCTATAGGTCACACCACCCCACACGGTGCATATGGCCGGGGAGCAGGCCGGTTGAACAGTGAACTTTGACAATCCCACTCGTAGTCTGGAACGAATCGGAAAAATCGAAATCAGATAACAGCTTCTTGCCTCTTTTCAGCTCATTTTTATAACTTAAATTCCTTGCCGTGACAATTTATAGCTTGACAATCTAACTATCTGCGTTGAGAGGCTGAAGCTAGGCAGCATAATCTGACATAAATCATTTGTCGATTTAATGTCGGTCCAACCAAAGGCATCTTCACCTGTAACCGACTGGTTTAATGCTATGTAACGGTTGTTTTTAATTATCAAACGACTAGAACCGCTAACGTTCCGCTCGCGTCTCAGCTAACCAGAAATGAAAATAGGGTGAAGGACAGTGACCTTCTTTAGTCACCCTCATGCATAGCACCCCCTTCATTTTCTTTCCATTGACTAGCTACATAAATATGCCGAGTACCGAGCTCAGTCGTGTACTACTACTGACCTCTGTTTCGACTCTAGCCAGCTCAAGCAGATAGATCCCTGATTTGACCCGACCTTCTCTCGATCTCCGCAGAGCCCGGGTCAGGCCTATTCGGGTCTGAGCCAGCACGTGGACTTTACCGCTCTGCCGGAGCCCGGTGACCGCTTCCTCCTGGAGACTGTGGTCGGAGAGGGCACCTACGGGGAGGTACACGCCGCCCGCGATCTTCACAGAAACGGTCAGTGACCTCCGGCAGATCGCGATAGAGGGGTGTTTGGGTCAGAGCAGCGGCAGTGAATGTTTATATTCTCTTATTTGTAGCGATTGGTCTGATTATGAGGTATTTATGAGTCAAAAGCTCGCAAATAAATAATTAATTTGTAGGTTAAATTACTACTACCGGAGCATGTCAGAATTCAGCGGAATCTTGCGTCGTCACCCTGTTGGTTCCGGTTCGATTATTTCGGCTGTTTTCAGAGGAAATCCCCAGTTATACTTGCCATTCCCTGCCCCACGGCAAGGTCTAAAGGCCGCCGTCCACTGTGCGGAACGCGTGCGGTCCGTACGGAATTTAACACAGAACCCTATGGGCGCATCCGGTCCGTACGGAAATCGTGTGCGCTCCGTCCGGACCGCATCCGAACGGCAATCAGCTGTTGATTTTCCGTCAGCTCTCCGCATGCGTTTCGGATGCGGTTGCTACGGAGACGGAAGAGTGATGTCCGACGCGTTGAACTTTTCTGAGGAAAACGCATCCGGAACGTCCGGAACAGACGTGGTTTGGGGCCGTATCGGAGGCAAACATTGTGAATTGTACGAAGAATTGGAACTCGATCATCATGAAGTAAGTAAAAATTATTTCCTTAGAATGGCAAGAGTATTCGCTGCTGGTTACTTGCAATATTTTATTTGGTAATAAGTGATAGGAAACATTTATTAGCTCTCCGCATCCGGACCGCATCCGGACCGGATGCGGCCAGCGTGCGGCGACATTCCGGACGGACTCCGGACGGAATTCCGTCGCAGTGGACGGCGGCCTTAATGATGTGACCTACATTGTGTCCATGCATCGCCATCACCCGCCGCTAACGACCATTAACAACACCTGCCGGCGGAGATGATTTAATTTTGGCTGTGATTTATAATGTTTTGCTTTCTCGTGTCCGGATACTATACGACCAGCCTTACAATCGTTGCCTTAAGTTGCCTGCTCTCCATCTTGACACACATGTGCGACTAAGGACAGTCCTCAAATGATAAATAAGCCCAAAACATATTAATCATAGCCCAAAGGTAAAAGTGCTTTGCTATTTTTTCCAACAATTATTGATGGGAATCTTTAGAGGAAGATATGAAGCTGTAAGGGCTGATGGTCGTACAGATACCTAATGGCAATGTTCACATGGGTGACAAGCAGTTGTGCATGTTTTCTGTCTTTTAAAGACGATGTAAGATTATCGAATCATAAATGTCAAACTGCGAGTTCCCATGCAAGACGTAACCATAACATAGCGGCACTGGTCGTACCTACTATTCACATGCGGATGGTTTACATTTCCCATCGTTTACTGCCTTCAATTAGTGTTCCTTTATTATGCGATTTATTTTCAATTTTTGATTTGTTCATACTGTGTTTTGCTTACAGGTCAATATGTTGCCATCAAAATCTTGGAGGACATCACGGACAACATCGAGGAGATCGAGGAGGAGTTTCTTGTGCTGCGGGACCTGTGCCGTCACCCCAACATCACCCAGTTCCATGGCATGTTCTTCAAGCCGGGCAAAAGCCGCGACCACGATCAGCTGTGGTTCGTCATGGAGGTAGGCTATCCGCTTTGTGGACTTATATTGATGTCTCTTTCGTTTGCTTTCTTCAGTAATATGAATGAATAACATTGATATTGCTCGGCGGCCGATGGAAACGAAAGACGGCATACAAATGGAAACACGCTGAGAGCGCGGAGAGTTTTCAGAGAATACCAAAGTCCGCTATTTCTGGCATTATGAGGCCTTACTTGTTGCCTGTCTATTGTCTTTTGTCTGCATGGCGTGAATTTTCACACATTTGTTGGTTCTTGGGCTACCGAGAAGTGTTTTATGGCACGATGCCTTGGTCCATGAGATCGTAGTGGTTCTGAGAATCTCGAGACCATGAGCCATGGTCATGAGACGGCACTGTAGCGGTCCCCGGGACCAAGAGACCGTACTGTGGTGGCGTCCGTGATCAGTGAACTGACCTACTGTGGTGCCAAGAAGAAGTCATGGTGTTTTCTCAGCGTATTCTGCGATAGAAAAGAAGCCAGTGGATCCTCTGAAAGCCAGTAGAGCCAGTGAAAAAGGAGCCAGTTGAGCCCCAGTCACAACAGGCAGATTTGGACAGAATCGGTTGTTGAAACGAATCCGACAATCGACATTCCGTAATTCGACAATCGATCCCCCCTCCGCCGTGCTGAGACCATGGAAACATAACCAGAGGCGGATCCTGAGGCGGTACCAGGTACGCCGGTGTCCGTGAGTGGCCGTTTGCGGCGCTAGTGGGCCCATCTGCCGCTCTGTAGGGCCGTCAGTGGCCGGTCCGACACCACCTGCTCCTCTGCCACGTCCGCCACGGCCGGCAGGAGGCAGGGGCGGTCACTAACCCGAGGTGGGAGGGAGGAGCCAGGTCTGCAGAGGACGTGCGTTTCTGCAGAAGAGGTGGACAGGTGGCCTGCGAGCTGCGGTCGTCGCAGCATCCAGCCCTATTAATGCAACAAAATGTAGGTCTGTAGATAAGAAATGTACATACGAGTACGTACGAGTGATCCTTTTCAGCCATAGACACCACACAATCAGTTATCGATAGGAACACCATCACACTATTATATTTTGTTCCTTTTCTCATATACCGTCTTTCCCAGCTTTCCCATTTCTTTCGAAGAACTCTTTAGTGACACCGAACCGAACCGTGGAGCCGTGTCAGCTTCAATGACGGCACCGTTCCGTCAGGAGTTATTCGAGGCCGGATCCATCACTGTCCTCTGCGTCCCGTGGGAGCCGACACTGGAGTACATGGTCACGGATTCAGGACAGATGGAGCGGTCCAACAGTCACGGAAGACAGATCGCTCGGACAGCGGCAGCGAATGGGAGCCGCCGGTCCAGCCATCAATTAAGGAGCCTTTCTTTGGGGAATTCCAAGTCGCACTCGGACCAGCGTTTGTCGTCTGGGAACTAGAAACGAAGGTGTTACGAAATTATAGAACGTTGGTTGGTATACATACACGCATTTTCACGCATTTACGGGACAAACGTAGGATCGCTTTTTGGTACTACATAAATGCATAATTTTCTTTTATATCGCAATTCAAGATTAAAAAAGTAGAGCGGAAACCTGCACTCCCATGGTCTTCCATTGATTTCTCATAATTTCACTAAAATTCCACATCGGATTGGAATGTAGCCAGATGCCAAGGTCACAACCAGCTGCCGCGGAATTCCTGCATGGCTCTCTGCACCACAGTCGATCCCCGGCAATCCGGCAGAGGCACTTCCGGGCCGGCTGCAGCAGCTCGTGAAATCCGAACTGAGTGCGGCGCGCATTGGTGCAGTATCTATGGCAAATGTGACGCAGAATCCGAGCTGAGTGCAGCGCACACTGGCGCAGTGTGGCAGACGCGGCGCGGCGATGCGCCGCCGACCGAGATCCCGCTGCCGCCGCTCGCGGTGCCCTCAATGGACCATTGTGGCCGCGTGTCGACTCGTCCCGCCCGCCAGCCTCCTGTCTCGGTGTCAGCGGTCTGTTCCACCCCAGCGGGTCGTACCGCGTCATCCCGGCACCACCGGGTCAGTAGAGACACGACCCCGCCCGTGACCGAGCCACCCCGGAGCGGCCGTGAAGCGCCTCGTGACGCGGCCGTGACTCCGCTCGTGACGCCGCTGGCGTAGGGCGTGATTTTTGTGTCACGCTCTCGAGTATTTCGTGATTTTTGCGCCACGGCCGAGAGGGGATTATCTACCGCTCACACACCTAACGAGGCTCTGCAGACTGCTCTGACAGGCACATTTCCCACGCCAGTGTCATCCTTCAAGCTGCAAAATTCTGCTAAAGCACGAAGCAACAACCATTCCTTCTGCATAACTCATCAGAGACACGGGGCGCTCCGAGGAGCTGTCCGGCGTGTCTATTCCTCTGTTCCTCCGGTACGGAGAGCTCCACTATTGCCGCCGGCTACGGAAGGAACTGCTGCTGGAACAGCCGGTGTGCTCTGCCCACCATCTGGCGGCCCTGTGCGGAGCGCCGGCCGACCACAGCAGCGCGCTGACCACCCACCCGGGAAAGTGAACTGGTGCGCCGACTGGGCGGGATGCCCGAGCGCGCGGCACGCCCAATGACGCTCGATTAATGTGCGGCATCCGGAGGGAGGGGGGGGGGGGCGAACGACTGCCAGCTATGTCACACACAGTGGCGAAGCTGATACGCCACAGTCATCCACTTTACGCACGTGACGCGGAAGCGATGGATCCTACTTGTTCCTGGGTATTTACTACACCAGAGGCCCGGAGCGACGTAGTTTCCAGTAATTGAGCGACCCGACGTGCCTCAAACATATGACGGCGTGTAGTAACGCAACAGAGTCGGCAAATACGAGTGTGGCTACTGGCTGCGGTGTCGAAACAGCTAATTTGAGCTCGATTCATGAAAAAGAGAACGTTAACGTGCGTCTATGTAAATAGTTTCGATCGACATATCACCCAGATGCCGGACTTGTGTAAAGGTAAATGGTGGTCTGTTCTGTTATAGGTATATAGTTGGAGATGTCAATGAACATCGCATAAACACTATTCTAAATATACCCATGTAGTCGATAGTTGCGATAGTCGATAGTTGATTTTGAGTTGCATCTCATGAACTGAATTACTTTAAAACGTTATTGTGAAGGTGAAGTACTTAAATGATGTGTTTGTGAAATTGGTAACTTGCGCGCTTGTATTTTGTTGAAACATTTGCAAGGACGGATACAGAAAGTGAGGTATTTGTATCCATTGATCTATTCAGCGCGGGTCTCAGCGCCTTCTTTGTGCCGGCGCGGCTCGTCGCCCTCGTCACGCGTCACGCGTCACCGGACAGGGTCGTGACGGACGGCCGCCGACAGGGTCGGCAAATGGGGAGGTAGAGGGGCGGAGGAAGGTAGAGGCCGGGGTGAGGCCGCGGAGACAGGGTCAGTGCGAACAGGGTCAGAGGGGTGGCGGAGGGTAGAGGGTGGAAGAGGTCAGAGTGGTGGAGGAGATAGAGGGGTTGAGGAGGGTGGAGATCGGGGTTATTACAGGCTGGGTAAGAGAGGCAGAAGGTGGAAAGCGGACCGAGAGCTGGAGAAAAACAGAGTTCTGGAGGAGAATATAAAGAGATGAATGAAGGTAGAGGCCAGGTGGAACGGGCAGTGGACAGGGTCAGATACAGAGTGACAGAGGACAGGACAGAGGCCGGACAGGCGGCAGTGGGTCGCGGAGCGCCACCGTCACGGTCCGCCGCCGCGTCACGAATTGTGCGCGCTGCCGTGACGCTGCAGCGTGACGAGCACTTCCTGCAGCAACTGCGACAACAATGTCAGCATCGTGTGTGTGCATATGGCTGCAGTAAAGGATGCGATCTGTGAATGAGCAATTTGGATCATGAACTCGGCTGAATGCTTTGTATCGTGGCCTTGGTCTATAGGCTTCGTAATTGACAACCCATTTATGCTATCGGCCGTCCGATATAATGATGCCTACATGAGCAATTATATGTGGCACGTAAAGTAAAAATTGAGGTCCCATCTCCGGTGGCACTGTCTAGTCTCCTTTAATTCACTCGTTCACTTCCTTTTGGTAATTTGTCAATGCTGTATCGATGTTTGAACTTCCTGTGAAGTGAATTTCCCCTTCATTCCCCATTTGTGGACCAGGAGTCCGTAAATACAGCATCTCTCTCTCTCTCTCTCTCTCTCTCTCTCTCTCTCTCTCTCTCTCTCTCTCTCTCTCTCTCTCTCTCTCTCTCTCTCTCTCTCTCTCTTCCTCACTTCCTTTCCTGGGTGTGGCTTACACCTTTGTCTCAGTTGCAGATAGAAGCAAGCTGGCACCATTTCCGTGGGCTTCGCCCTAAACACCCGTGGCAATCGAGTTTCGCTATCTCCTCGTGTCACTTCAATTTTGTTTATTTGAAGTGCCAGAGGTGAAACTGACACGGGCGTTGTTTGCTGTGTCCGCACTGCCATTCAATAAACTCTGTTTGGTGGGCGACGTCCAGATGAAAGCTCTTCAAGATCGACCAAGCGATACCGAAGCGGTTCATATGCACCTTTATGTGGCGTGAAAAGTCGAGCTCCAGCCGCGGCGTTTATAAGACGCCCGTTTTCAAAAGTGAGCCCGGGCCGGTTTTTGCCTCGCTCCTGACGCTGCCGCTGCTTTCCCACTCTCCGTCGGCACCACTCGCCGTGAAAGTTACCACTCCATTTTACTGAGACAATGACTGCCACCACCAATTAGTGCATTAATACGGCTACTCCACTGTAAACTGTTTTTGTTTGCATTTGTTAGTGTATTTTCACTCGGGCGTTCCCTTTCTGCGCTGTTGTACTGAGACATGACACTCGACGACAGAGTTTTTTCCAAGTCTTTGGTTGGTATACATCGGCGCCATTTAATATAGGATAACACAAAAAGTAAATTTGACGCCATTTTTGAAGTAGTGACAATGGTGGCACCACTTCAGAGGCCTCTTGCACCAAAATCCTCTTGCACCAATGCTTGGATTATTTTGCATTGTATACCCAGTCCAAGTCTCAAATGTAGCAATTTGCGTGCAAAATTTAGCAAGCACATGTAGGAGTTATGTATTGGGCTATTGGAAACAAATTTACCACCGTTAGATTAGCTTATTCTGAAATCGGTTTTTTCGATTTTACCCAGCTACCCAGTTTACCCAGTTTAGTGCAAGAGGCCCCAGGTTGATTGTCAATAGACGGTTATGCCAAGACACCCGAGCTCACCGCTTCCGTAACGTTTATTGCCTCCATAAATCTAAATTGATATTTACCGTGACTCCATTGTAGAATCGGGATAGAAATAAGGACGTTTAACAAGTTATATATGAAATAAACTATAAAATGTCATGACCGAATTCCATAAACTGACCAGAATAGTTACAATCTCGAAAAGTTTGCACTTCGGAACCTAACACCTTGTCAGCCGTCCCACAATTCACTCAGTTTCCCCTGCACATTAGGCTGACATCTCCGGCGTGTTGCGTCCTCAGCTGTGTGACGGTGGCTCCGTCACCGACTTGGTCCAGTGGCTGGCCAAGGGAGGGAGCACCCTGACCGAGATGCAGATCGCCTACATCCTGAAGGAGACCATCAAGGTGAGAAGTGGTCAGCTCTCTGTGTCTCTGTCTCTGTCTCTGTCTCTGTCAATGTCCCTGTGCCTCTCTGTGTCTGTGTCTGTCTCTGTTTCTGTCTCCGTCAGTGTCTCCTTCAGTGTCTCTCTTCTCCCTGCCTCTGTTTATTTGTCTTTCTTTGTCCATATCTCTTCTCTTCTCTCCCTCTCTCTCTCTTTCTTTCTCTCTTTCTCTCTCTCTCCCCCTCTCTCTCTCTTTCTCTCTCTCTCTCTCTCTCTCTCTCTCTCTCTCTCTCTCTCTCTCTCTCTCTCTCTCTCTCTCTCTCTCTCTCTCTCTCTCTCTCCCATGTCTCGACACGGCTCTCGGTGGGCGGACACATCGTCTTCACTGGGTCGACACGCTCTGTCGACCACCCGTCAAAACGCTCGGCACCTACACCAAACAGTGCATGAGCTCAATTAGGTGACGGTGTCTGCAGGGACGCAGCCCGTGACGGCCAGACGGCGGCCCAAAGAGACGGTGCCGAGTTATGTCTACGTGAGGTGACTGTGTGCCCATCTGAGAACTGGGCGGAGGTCCCATTATACTGTTACGCCTGTCGCGGTAGTGTGGATTCGTCGTTGTCACGTTGGGGAGTGTCGCTACCGCTAGAAAGTTGCCAGTTTCGTGTGGATGATTTTCACGAATGACGCTAAGCTGAATTAACGTGCCCTGAACACGCCATCAAAAAAAGCTTTCAGCTTCAGTGATTGAACCCCGGCCTCATCTGGCCTAACTAGCGAACTCACATTGGAACCGGTTTTAACGAGACATCTCCATCGGATACTGTCAGAAATTTTCATCGAAGCCACTCTCTCTCTTTGCCTAGAGACTTATTGAGTTCATCGTCCTGGATGGGATGATAAATATCTCATTTCGGGAGAGATCGACATGCCTATTGTGTCCCTTTGTCCGCCGCCGATCCTGTCGTTAGTTATTAGTGGACAGCGTGGTCTTCAGCAGAGCACATGATATTGCTTGACGTCGGTTTGTTTGCTACACATGACTATATCAAAAGCCTCTAGCTTATCTCGGGCATTGCTGCTATGCTTAGTAATAGTATCTGCATTATTTTCAATGCATTTCTTTGGTATAATTTTGGCATCCTTAGTCACATCACAGTCACGATTCAACTCTTAATTAAAGGTAGTGTGCCACCTTTGAAAGATTTCCCATTTTATTTTTCCTATATATGGATAAGAAGCTTCTGTTTTTATCTAATATCGCAAAAAAAAATCAAAAATGGGCCTGGAATAGTGCCTTTTTCGCCTAAAAGTTTATCGGTTTTTCGATATGTATAACAATTGTAGTGGGCTGACCTGTAAACAGGCGTCGGCAACAATCGCGAATGCGGCGCACATGTGACAATAAGCAAAGGTCATTATAGAGTTACGACGTACGGGAATGAGTTATCAGCTGTCTAATCGTAGACAACACAATTAAACTGTCGAGCCTTAAACTGTAAGCCTGTATTGGTATTGTTTCTTTTATTTGGCTGTCGAACATTATTTATGGTTTGAAATATGATTTTATGTAAAATAATTGATATGAAAAAGCCGTCTCTTAAGTTATGACCCGATTTCACCACACGCAAGTGGCAGAAATGACAATGATCAGCTGACGCATTTTTCTTGGCCGAAGTCAGAGCGCGCGGCCCGACGCACCACCACCGCACCACAAAGTATGAGCAGAAGCCGCGCCCAAAGCCAGGGCCCCGGTAACGTGAGGTAGCCGAGTCGGGGCAGCGTGCGCTGACCCAAGCCGGGGCTGCAGCTTTGGGCGCGGTCTACCGCATCCCCGCGGGCAGCCCCGGGCTATCACATGACACCGGGAGGACGCGCGGCCCCGGCTTGGGTCAGCACACGCTGCCCCGACTCGGCTACCTCACGTTACCGGGGCCCTGGCTTTGGGCGCGGTCTACCGCACCACCTAACAGGCGTGTTCGAAACCGCAGGAGATGATGATGAACGGGTTTATCGAAACTTGATTGGATGAGCATATCGGTAATAGCGATTTCAGTGTGTGCATTTATTGTTCATAGTGATGTGAAATGTGGTTGGGGTACGACCGACAACCCGTCGGGGCGAATTTCGCACTGGGGTACTCAAAATTTGAAGAATTTAAGACGTTTCCATGAGTTTTGAAGGTATGGATAAGTTCTAAAAATCCGGTTCTCCTTATCTGGGCCATTAACTCCATACGGTCCAGGAAAGCTGGCACACTACCTTTAAATGAATAATACCTACCTATAACGCCTATAGCAATGTATGCTTTTCCTATTCAGTAAACAACATCACAATCTAATCTTTACCTGACTGGTATACCCAAATTCAGCAATTGGAATTTGGAAGCCATACTAACTAGCAGGTATTCGCAACGACACCGTATGCACCATTTACATCACCGCTGTCTCCCTTCAGGCCCTGGTTCACCTACACCAGAATCACTGCATGCATCGGGACGTCAAAGGTCACAACATCCTGCTGACCGGCGAGGGCAACGTCAAGGTGGTCGACTTCGGCGTCTCCTCGCACCTGGCTGCCACCCTCGGCAGGAGGAACACCTCTGTCGGCACGCCCTACTGGATGGCGCCGGAGGTAAGGGGCTCAGGACGGATGGTACTGGAGTGACCGATATGTAAGAGGTTCAATGAGATGCCTGAAGTGAGGGCGCCCGTTACCGACTATGACCGGGGAAATATATGAGCAGAGTAAATGCATGTTAAAACGGAATACAATGGTGAGCGAATAAGAAAATCCCTTCCTGATCCGCATTTACTTGCTCATATATTCGGGGCAACTGTTAGTGCTAAATCGTCAGTGCTTCCTTGTTGTCATGCCTCCCCGGGGCTCTTTAGAAAGGAGGTGCAAACCGGCCGAGTGCGACGATATGAGACGAAATAGACGCGATAGCACACAAATGTTTATTCACCCGTGCGCCTCTAACCCCGTTCTTTGTCCGTTCCCTGCCAGGTAATCGCCTGTGAGCAGCAGTACGACTACAGCTACGACGTTCGCTGTGACGTCTGGTCGCTGGGAATTACCGCCATCGAGCTGGCCGACTCCGAGCCTCCGCTGGCCGACATGCACCCCATGCGAGCTCTGTTCCAGGTCAGTCGGGCGCCGCCGGATAAGGTAATTTGGCGAAACTAACTCGAATGACAAGTCAAGTGATTTGATGCGTTACTGTTAGAGATGTCATGGTGAGAAGCCCTAATTCTTGCATATTGTACCACGCGATGCGCTCCATTCTCATGAATAAACATTGAGGTAGGTATCTCCGGTGTAGGAGCTTGCCTTGTCATGTCACAGTGCCACTGATTAAGGAGGTTTCCCGACTCATCTCCCTCCCGTTCTCCCGTATCTCTATGAATTGGCAGATCCCAAGGAACCCACCTCCGTCTCTGAAGAGGCCGGCCGACTGGAGCGCAGCCTTCAACGACTTCATCAGTCGGTGCCTAATCAAAGACTTTGAGAAGAGGCCGTTCATGAGTCAACTGCTGGATCATGCACTCCTGAGGAACGTGCCAAGTCGGATTGACACCGTGAGTTTGACGAATGTCGTGGAGGTACCTACCACATATACTCGAGCTTCCATGTTTATCTACAACACGATAAAGGATCTACCGTTTCGTCTTGCTGAATGATCGGTTCGTTTCTGTGTCCGGCAGATTCGCGGTTCGATCCGCAGTCTGCTCGTCGCCCGGCGTCAGACGGGTGGCGGAGGGACCGGCACCGTGCGCCGGCCGCACCCCACCACCAAACAGGGCCGCCTGAAGACCGGCCGCAAGTCCAAGCTGGCGCCCATGTTCGTGGACGACCTGGCCTCGCTGGAGCGGCTGACGGAGGAGGTGATCGTGACCCAGCTGCAGCAGCGCTACAGGGCCGGCCAGATCTACACCTACATCGGCGACATCCTGATCGCCGTCAACCCATTCAGCGATGTCAACATCTACGGAGAAAAGGTGCGGTCGCTGTGCTGCGAGGAACTGACAATGTTCATCTGATAGAACACCATGGTTATGAGAGTAAGCGGGGAGATGACTTGATTGTCCGGTGACTGACAAGTCTCGATAGGCTAAAACTACATAAATTGTCTCGCTCGTCTCGATGTTAGCTCACAATACCACGCCTTTCATCACTCAGCATTAAAATTCCGGGTCGGATGTGTGTCGCATTTAGATCGCAATCCCGTGACATTTCATCCTATGTCGGCTCGGCTTTTCTGCCCTAAATCTACCACCGGTGTTATTATGCGCGTTACCCTTAGCGTGACGGCCACTCTGCGAGCGTCACACAGATATACCGGTAAAAATGGACAGCCCATCCCGCTTCCAACAATGCCGCGTGCGGCGTACCGTGACGTGCCGGGTGAAACTGACCTTGGGCCGTGCTCCCGTGTCACAGGAGCAGCGGCTGTACCGCAGCCTTCGGAAGGCGGATGGGCCGCCGCACATTTACGGTGTGGCCGACGCTGCCTACCACGCCATGCTGCATCAGAGGTCAGAAACACTGGTGGATGTTGTTAGAAACACTGAGGTCATGACTATGTCCACAGCCTACCTCTCTGTGTTGTAGCCTATATCTCTATCTATCTGCAACTCTCTCTGAAGTGTTAAGCCGCCGCTCTTTGTAGTTTGGCTGATTATGTTGAACGGTGATCTCGTGAAGCGCTAGAGGTGCTTGCTTTGGATGAGACGGTGCAGTGCCTCCATCAATCATGTCTTGATAGGTGCAACAATGGCAGCGACTGATGCCCGATGGACCTAGATCTCTCTCCTAATGTCCCTTTTCTCATCTCTCTCCAGACAGCACCAGTGCGTGGTAATCTCCGGGGAGAGTGGCGCAGGCAAGACCGAGTCTGCCAACCACCTCCTCCGCCAACTGGTCTCACTAGGCCAGGCCGGAGGACGTGGCATCGAGCAACGTATCCTAGCCGCCAACCCGGTGATGGAGGCATTCGGCAACGCCGCCACCGGCATCAACAGCAACTCGTCCCGCTTCGGCAAGTTCCTGGAGGTGACGTTCGGCACAGGCGGAAGGGTGTCCGGAGCCAGGGTCTCTGTGTACCTGCTGGAACAGAGCCGGGTCGTCCGACAGGCCAGGTGAGCCAGGAGGCCAGGTGCGCATCCTCACATCATTCGATACTGATAGTGGCAAGTTGTATATTGGATCGACGATGGAGAAGTAGTCGATAAATTAAATTTTCGTTTGTTTCTTCGCTGTATTTAAATACTGAGTGCGATTTCAAGTGTGGTACGATGCTAACGCCTTTGCCACTTACAAATATGCCTTACAAATAGGTAAGTAGGTATATATAAAACTGCCAACGTCCACCACACAAGCCTTCGATTCACCATCACTGCCTTTCTTTTCAGCGGCGAGCGGAACTTTCACATCTTCTACTACCTGTACGACACTCTTCAGGCAGAGGGTCGCCTCAGGGAGTTTCGGCTGGACCCGCAAGGACGCAACGCCCACCGCTACATCAGCAACAATGTCAGCAACAACAGAGCGGCATCGGTAAGGCCTTGGTGCTTGACATTCGTGGCTTTTCCTCTATGTCTTGCAAGGTCTTACATCGCTGTTTTTCTTTCTAAAGCACTTCAGGTCTATCCTCCCCCTCATCTCCAACCAACATGTCCGTCTTTTTTTCAGCGGAATGTACAGACGATGGCGGTGATTCGTCAGAGTCTGACGATGCTCGGGTTCGGGGCTGACCAGTTCCACTGTCTCTGCCGACTGCTGGCGGCCGTCATCCACCTGGGGGACATCTCCTTCAGCTCCACTGACGACAGCCACAACAACACAGAGAAGGTGGCCGTCAGCAACAAGGAAAAACTCAACGACGGTGAGGAGAAACACGCTACAAGGCGATCTTAGGCTGTAGGAATCTCAAATGCCCTTGACTTTGAACCTCGAAAGACATCTTCCGAGCGTGATAAGGTGTTGGAGTTGGCTCATGAGCCAGATATGTTCTAAATGGACTGGATATGATAACGTGAGATGAAAACAAAATTCACTTCTGACACTGAGTGTCTCACGCAGTGGCGCATCTGCTGGGCCTGGACCGGGAGGAGCTGGAGGAAGTGCTCACCCTGAACTCGGTGGTGACACGCGGAGAGAGCATTCTGAGGAACAACAGCCACGAGGAGGCGGTCACCACGCGGGACGCCATGGCCAAGGCACTCTACGGCAGGCTCTTCGACTGGATCGTCAACCAGATCAACCGGCTGCTGGCCCGATCCGGAGCTGTCAGGTAATTTGGAAATGCGTTTTATGCTTTCCGTTGTAGCTTTGATTTATATTGGTCTGTACAGAGCAGGATTCATGGTCTTCAATTGCTACCGTATCGGTGTTCCGAGACGTTCGTAGTATAAGCCGCCCATATCCCTTTTCAGAGGAGATCCGTTGGCCGTTGGACTGCTGGATATTTTCGGATTCGAAAACCTCACCAACAACTCGTTCGAGCAGCTCTGCATCAACATTGCAAACGAGCAGCTGCAGTACTACTTCAACCAGCACATCTTCTCCTGGGAGCAGATGGTGAGCCTCAGTGATATCATTCATGAAATCTTTGCTCTATAAGTTGCGCAATGCGCCTGCCATGAAGGTTCTGGCGCTGATAACTTATAAAACGCTTCATACTTTTCTTTTGAGAAACATACACGGAGACACCGTAGTCCTCATCTGTTGTCATCGGTATTCCGTTGTCACCTTTCCTCCAGGAGTACCAGTCGGAAGGGGTGATGGTGGACCCGGTCATCTTCACCGACAACCGGCCCGTGCTCGACATGTTCCTGGCCAAGCCGCTGGGCCTGCTGGCACTCCTGGATGAGGAGAGCCGCTTCCCGCAGGCCAGCGACAGGACACTTGTCGGTGAGCAGCGATCCAATGCCGTAGCTGCTGTGACATTTAAATTAATTACCATTAGTTTGTTTGGTCCCAGTTAACGTGAAGCTCTCGTGCACGTGAGTTACCGAGATGGTCAGTTTATTTTAGTTTAAACACGAGCAGAATGTGGAACTACGAGGGAAAGCTACGAACACATGTGGAGTGGACTGTGGAACATAGCTGTTCTGGCATCAGAAAGCCGTGTTTGTGACTGCAAGGTAGCTACTATTAGTTCGAGTCAATAACACAAGACACGGCCAAAGGGAACTGCTTTGAACTCTGTGTTACCTTTCACTGCAATCTGGGGTCACTCATGCATGCAGTTCACCCACTTTCGACTGACCCCGGCATCTCGCCACCTTTCAGAGAAGTTCCACAACAACATCCGCTCACCGCACTACGTCCGGCCGAAGAGCGACGCGCTGAGTTTCGAGATCCGCCACTTTGCCGGGAAGGTGCAGTACAGCTGCGGCGAGTTCCTGTCCAAGAACCGCAACTTCCTACCACCTGAAGTCATCCAGGTGTTTCGCCAGAGCTCCCTGGAGGTAAGTGGCCTCACTTGCGGTCGGAAGTAAATTTGACATTAATCGACCCATGCTGGGAATGGTGGGAACGTCGTGATGTGACCAATGTGCCGAGAACGATTAGTTCACGTTATTTCGCCACAAATGGTTGCTCAGTGAAGGGAAGCATGCGTTGAGTCATGTAAGCAAATTAGTGGTACTAGAGGCATGTGTTTGGCTTCGATGGTTTGTGCGGTTTTCCTCAACTTCACTGGGATTAAAAAGCATATGACGAAGAAATTCACGGTATTAATAACCATAACGCTATTTATGTGTATCGTTGTCCGTTTCTCTTGCCTCTCTCTCTCCCTCTCTCTCTCTCTCTCTCTCCCTCCCTCTCCCTCTCTCTCTCTCTCTCTCTCTCTCTCTCTCTGTCTCCCACTCTCCCATCTCTCACTTTCCTCCACTCTCTCTTTTTCTCTCCCACGACCTTCCCTCCCCTCTCCTTCCACCTCTCCTTCTCTCACCTCTCCCTCTCCCTCCACAGGTGGTGAGGACTCTGTTCCAGTCACCCCTCACCAGGACCGGTAACCTCTACACGGAGAGCGTCAGTCCCTCGGCTCCCGCGGTGATCGGGGCCTCTCCTCGCGTCCCGGCCGGGTGGTCGGCCAGCAGCGGTGCCGAACTCTGTCGGGACTTCCTTGGAAAGGTCGGTGTCGAGTCATGAGGCTTGTGAAATTCTGGGAAGGAAAATTCAGGAAAAGAACTGGAAGACAATTATCGGGTTAGCACTTGGTTAGAGATCATTGACCTTGCGGGAAGGAAGAGTGGGAAAGAAGCTGACATACCATCGGGTCAACTCTTGGTCAACCTTGCCTTACGGGTGAGAAAGTGTGAACGAAATGGCCCACCGTGACCGATGTGACCTCCGTGGGTCAAACGAACACGGATAATGTGAGAAAGGCACAGCAAAGGATGGCACATTCGCGTCATATGCACTGTTCTGCCCACACAATCAGCACCTTTCCCGATACTTATTACCACGCCCTTCTGTCCGCAGACCCACTCTGGCAGTGTTGTGTTCGGGCTGGCCTCCCAGACCAAGGCGCAGCAGACGGTGGCCACCTACTTCAGGTTCTCACTGATGGAGCTGCTACAGAACATGGTGAACGGAGCGCCGCACTTTGTGCGCTGCATCAAACCCAACGACAGCAGGAGGCCCAACAGCTTCGACGTCGAAAAGGTAAGGAAACGGAAGAACCAAACAGCTCTTAGGTCGAAAGGGTTGGACAATTATATACGGCAAATAACCTCGGCGTCGAAAATACTAGAGAAGTGCGGATATGCAGTCAGACATGGTCACGGAAGACGGACACGGCTTATTAGCAAATAAAAGGGCACGCACGATAGGCGCTTACCGATTCTACTTTTTGCCAACAGGCGCGGCGGCAGCTGCGGTATGCAGGAGTTCTGGAGACAGTGAGGATACGACAAAACGGCTTCTTCCATCGGATACCGTTTGAGGAGTTTCTGAACAGGTGAGATGAAGTACAACAACTGCTTCTATCTCATTATCTTAAAAATGATTCGGCCAATGCCTCTCACGGAGTTGTTTGTAATACCTAATACATTCGGTACGACAGTAAGATAAATGCAACCATGATGCTGGATGTTATCGTGAATTTGGATTGTACTGAATAAATGCAGGATCTGTGTCGATAATCGATACCCGGCCCGCGCAGGTACGACTTTCTGGCGCTGGGATACACCGGTGACCGTCCTAGCGGAGCGGTCGGCTGTCGGCTTCTGCTCGATAAACTCGGTCTGGACGGCTGGGCCGTCGGCCGCACCAAGGTCTTCCTCAAGTATTACCACGTCGAGCTGCTCACCAAACTGCACGATCGACAGGTCAGAGGATAAATGTCACATTTCGTCGTGATATCCCATTCTACACTTTGTCCGATTTTCTTAGGATGCAGCTCAGAATATGCTGAGTGTCTCTGTTTATTACGGCTGAGTCGGACATCATCTGACCACGTTGGCTGTTCCGGCAGGTGGCGCGCATTATCAAAGTACAGGCATGCGTCCGACGGTGGCTGGTGCGGCGCCACCTGCGCCACCATCGTCGACAGACGCAGAGTGCCGTCACCCTGCAGCGCTGCATTCGCCGCTGGCTCAGCAGGAGACGACAGAGGCAGCAGCAGCTGGAGCAGCAGAGGCGGGAGCAGGAGCGGCTGGAGCAGCAGCAGCTGAAGCAGCAGCAGCTAGAACAACAGCAGCAACAGCAGCGACAGCAACAACTGGAGAAACAACGGCAGCAGCAGCAACGGCAAGGGAACAAGGGTAACTGATGGTGATATGTTCTTGTGATGGGCTAGCGTCTATTTATGTTGTAAGACTCGTTGGGCTTTAGGAACTGATTCGAATTGCATACATATCAGGCATTTGCTGCCACTAGATCGTTTTCCTGTCACCGATCCGTGCGATACCTACACAGAAGTTCTTCGGTATGCACTGAGTGCTTACAACTTTTCGATAGAAATCCAAGATGGAACTATTGCCGCTAGATGTCACTAGTATACGATGCCTGCAGGTATACTGTCCCGCAATGCATGAACTGAAAGCATGCTTATATGAATAACGGAGTGAAGTTGAGTTAAGGGGAATGAAGTTATATCCCGATCTTGCAATTTAGATTAACTATTCTAAAAAACTGGGACACATGTTTTTACCCTGATTCTTTTCAAATCTATTGTTATTCCGTCATCTGGTCGGGCTGCATTGGTCTCCCGCCACCAGCATGTGCGTTTTGGTATGCCGTAAGTGCCGGTATTTTCCTTTTAAGCCGTAATCTAACTAGTAAAACGATCGCATTTTACCCTTAAGAAGCAAGCATCTTGTATGTATAAACATATTGCCTATGGATGAACCCGCGCCCCGTAGGGGGGGGGGGGGGGCCGAAACTGCCCCTCCCTGTCCTTTTCCGTCGATATCTCCTAAACGGCTGGAGACATCGCCACCAAACTTTCAGGACCCCTCCGGGCATCAATTTTACACATTGGGACCAAAAAAAATTTCCAGAGGCTATGATAGGTTGGCCACACATGACGTCAGAATGACGTCATGTTCTGTCATTTTCGACCGAAAAAAGACCTTCGCGAGAAGACCTGTCAGGCCTACAGCTTTAAATATACAGAAAAATGATCATGATGACAAAATGACATAAAAGGTGTAGAATTGACAGGTCTACAAAACTGCTATCTCGGATTTTTGAGATTTTTGAGTTTTGACCCAAAAAATCAAAAAAGCATTTTTTATATATTAGCCAAAAAATCCCAAAAGTTTTTTGAGTTTCAAAAAAAAACGGAATATATGTACAGGGTGGAAAGTAATTACGCGAACATGCAATTTATTACAATTTCACGAGTAAATAGCGACTTTGTTTAGACGGGGACTCGCGCGGGGCGTGATTGGCCGCGTTCGCTATCGATCCACCCACCCCACGTGACCTGACCCCGGGTGATGACCTTGGCCGGTCACAACGCGTCTAGACGTGGAACGGTGCGGGCGCCGGGCGCAGCCCAAGACCAAAATGGGCAAGGAGTACAGTTTGGAATTCCGCGGCAAAGCCGTTGGAATGGTTTTGGGCGGAATGGATCGGAAGTTGGTCTGTAAGCGTCTCGGCATCAGTCGCACCCAGTTATACGTCTGGATGAAGCGGGAGACAGCTGGAGAGGGCCTTAAAAGCAAGGCCGGCCGAGGCAGAAAACCCTCCGTGCACCCAGTCGCCAAGCGAGTGGTCGCCATGTCGGTGACAAAACGGCGCCAATCAACTCGGAAGCTGGCAAAACGGCTTACTGCGGCCGGGTACCCGATCTCTCATACCACGGTCCGCACATACCTTCGCGAAAATTTGAACACATTTCCGTACAAGCCCTCAAAAAGACCAAAACTCACTGAAGAACAGAAGAAACGGCGTTTGAATTTTGCAAAGGAGCACAAAACATGGACAGAAGAAGACTGGAAACGGGTATTGTGGTCAGACGAATCATGTTTTGAGTTATTTAACACGCCAAACAGGTAGAACGACCGCGTATGGGCTGCCGATGCGTCTGATGTCCCACCAGTCCCAACGGTCAAGCATCCATCGAAAGTGCACGTCTGGGGGATGATGAGCTCCTGTGCGGTGTCGGAGCTTCACGTAGTGCCCCAAAAGGTCACTATAAACGGCGACTACTACCGGCAGAATATCCTGGAAGAAGAGTGTCTGCGTGCCGTCCACCGAACCGGCAAAACTGGCACGATACTCCAGCGCGCTCTCGTGCCAGATGCAGAAAAGGCCATCTTCATGCAAGATGGGGCACCTCCGCACACGGCCAAACGAACGCAAGACTGGTGTCGGGACAACCTGCCGTCCTTCTGGGAGAAGGATGTTTGGCCTGGCAACAGCCCAGACCTCAATCCCATTGAGAACCTCTGGGGCATTCTCAAGGAGAAGGTCAGCGAGCTTCCAGGGGCCACCACCGCCGATCAGCTCGCCAGACAGCTTCGGAGGGCATGGGCTGCGATCTCTCCCGATGTGCTCCACAACCTGGTGTCAAGCATGCCGGAACGCATGCGCCAGTGCATACCAGCTTAATTTTCAAAACATATATATTTTTACGCTAGCATGTTTTTTTCTCAAATGCGACTCCGAGCCGGTACATATACCATCATCTAATTTATTACGTAAAGCATTTCATTAATAAACATTTTTGCAAGTCCCTCAGAAATCAGCCCCGGGCAGCGACTGACTGCCGGCCGGCCGACCGGCCCCGGGTGGCCAAGAAGCAGGGCCGGTCACTGTTTGGCCGGGATGTGTAGGAGCGGGAGCAGCACTCCTTTTTCACGTATATTCGCATATTTTTTTAGGCACATCGACATGAAATGTTATTATGTATATCTGGTACGATGCGGGATCACAGACTAGAGATCCAGCTTATAACTTCGATAGGCGTTATCACAAGTGTATTCGCGGCCATTGGGGCGACGTAAGAAAAGAAGAAAACAACTGGCCCCAAGAACTTTAAATTATCAAATAGCATGCACCTTTTCCTTGATATGTAGAGAATTTACCATTAATTGTTAGAGAAAATTGCATTTAAAATCTTCCATTTTTGCTTTTTTCATCGTTTGCACAGTATGTTCTTTTACTAAGCTAGAAACACTAATTAGAAATAGTTCCCGCATCATCAATAACAATAGGGAAGGCTTGAAGTGAATACAATAATCTAAACGGTTTTGTAATCCATGAGAAGACACTTCTAAAATTGCCAGTAGAAATATTAAAGGCAAAAGTTCAACTTTTTCACAAGACGGATGGCTATTAACCTATTCAACGTGTGACAACTCAGCCGGTATATCGTCGCCTACAGCCCAGCTTTCCCTAGTGACCGATAGAGGCGCTGCTATCGATGTCCGCCCGTGCCGCCTAACGTATATTTAATGTTTAACCAATGAATCAAATAAACAGGACTATGTACGATGCATGTCGGACACGTACCCAGAATTTCGCCCAAGAGGTGGTCACCTGCTGGTCACCTGACCCCGGGCCCGCGAGTCACCCGGGGGCCCGGGGTCAGCTCAGGCAAGGATGTATCCAGGACCTTTCGATGGGAGGAGGGAGGCACGGTGGGTCCAGTCTCACTGGCAGACGGGTCTCTTTAAAACGGTCTTTGCATGAGAAAATGTGGAAAATTGGCAAGCAAAAGTATCATTTATGCCCGAGGAGTGTGCCTAATGTACACTAATGCCTAATTTACATGGTATTTTACGAGCGAGCGAAGCGAGCGAGCTCCTCAAAATCACCGGTGTGTGGCGCGCTCAGAGGTGCCAGTGAAAGGCCGTCAGATGCGCTCGCGCTAACAAAGGAGGATGTGTCAACAAATAAAAGTTTTATGTCACACACGTTTTTTTCTTCTTAAAAGACGAAAAATGTATGTTCGCGTAATTACTTTCCACCCTGTAAAGGCCTGGATACACTATGCGTTTTCTGCGTGCGTTTTTTGCGTGTTTGCGTGTTTTGCGGAATATCGTTCTAGAAAAAAAGTTATTATAAATAAAATTTCTTTAATATCTATATAACAGTTAATTAAACGTGTATATTAATTAAAACTTTATATGAAAAACATATAACAAAACGTAATGTCGTTTTTTTCTAGAACGATATTCCGCAAATCACACAAACTCGCAAAAAACGCACGCAAAAAACGCATAGTGTAGCCAGGCCTTAATAGTACCTACCGTTTTCTATCTACATACCAAATTACAGATCGATACCTCCTTTTTTGGGCAAGTTATAGCGAAAAAACTGTTCAAAAATGATGACTTCAAATTTTCAATCTCAATTTTTGGCAATTCTAGACCTCGTAGAGCAGAACAAAGACCACTATTAGACTCCCCATGACGAGCTGCATCGAATCGATATCCATTTTATGCAAAAATATCAACTTTGAAATTTGACCTAATTTGACCTGACCTTGACCTGACCTTCACCAAAATGTGACCCAGGCTGGCCCCAAAGGCTGCCTAACCCACATAATCGCATTTGTCATGTAAAATGGACCATAAAACATGTATCACACGACACTTTCATATTGTGACCCCCGGTGACCTGACCTCGCTGTGACCTGACCTGGTATCAGTGACCTCAGATAGTAAAGTATGTGTTTGACGAACAATGTACATACCATCGATGGTTTTCAATAAATTACCGATTTACTCGATTTCACAACACATTTCTTGACATGCCTGTGAACGGCGAAAATCCGACCTTTGACCTGACCTGTGACGTCATCGGTTTGACCTAGGTCAATAAAATTTGGTCGCAAGGTAGTTCCCCAGTGGGTCTATCGAACACCGTTTGAATTTTGAAAATCGGCCGGTAAATTTCCGAGATCTTAGGGGGGGGGGGGGCCGAAACGGCCCCTCCCCTACGGGTGGTAGGGTCCGCCGATAGCCCTACGGGGCGCGGGTTAGACTATCAACTCCTGACCCCTCTACCTCTCAGCAGGCGGAGTGACTGGCAATTCGCGAATAGATAGTCCCGTGAATGACGCCAAGAGTCGTCTGGAGGGCTTCAATGAACCGGTTGTGGCCAGCGCCAGAGCGGCATCCGAACACGCCGCCGCCTCCACCATACAGAGAGGTAAGGCCTAAGGGCTGTAGAAAATACAGAACATAACATTAGTAACATTGCTACCAATTTTACGGCATCATGTACTGATATGTGTGGTATGCATATTTTGCATGATAAACTTTGATTGGTGATTTGATTTGTTGATTGGTTGATTGGTTGTTGATTTGATTGGTTGCCTTTAGCACACTAAACTTGTGTACACCGTTTTTATTTCGCAGCCTTCCGGCGTCACCGGATGCAGGCCACGTGGGGCCCGGCCCTGGAGGTCCTTAGTGTTGGAGGTGTTGTGGAGGTGTTGGGAGACAGCAGTTCATCAGCAGAGGCGCAGAAGAGGTGAGAAATGTTTGTAAGGTAAGCGTTCAGCACATATCTTGAGCAAGGAAATCAGCACCTGCACATGTCAAAGACATAGGAGAGGTTAACAGATTTTGAAAGGTATACGGTAATTGCAAATTGGGGATAAGTGTTTCGGTTTGTACTCATGTCGCAATATTTCATGTTTAACTTAATGTTGACAACTTTCCGTATTAAACGTGTCTTAGTCTTCCCGAGCCCCGCTAACTAACCTCGTACCACAGGCTCGTTTCGTCGGGCCTGAGTGCCAGTGACGCATCCCGGATAGTTCAGAAGTGCTGGAAGAGGTCTCGACGGAAAGCTGCCAAGGCGGAAAGGGAAAACATTGACCCTAAACAGACTCCTGCACAACAGGAGCAGCGAACGGAGGTAACTATAGAGATGGTTAGTGGGTAAGGTCTTGGTTAGATTGAAGCATTATTGTTAACATTCGATATAAATAAAATAAAGATACGGTTATTGTTTACGATTAATTGACAAATATTGAAAAAGAAGCTACAATTAATTTGTATCTTTTGACAAGAGAAACTAATCACTTCTCCCCGGTTTCTCCCACGACAGGTCGCCGCCGACATCACGGCACCCGTCTCGGTACGTGTCCCCGAGCCGGGCCTACCGTACCCAGAGGGCGAGACCCGCGGTGTCGGCCGGGCGGCGGCCAGTCCAGAGAGGAGGGCCATCTCCCCCGGACGGTGGCTGATTGGGTTCCAGCAGAGAGCCGCACGGCTCTTCTCCGGGGTGGAGGTGAGGGTTCGGCCGGCTGGCTGCCGCGCGGCTTCTCATACATTAGGAGTTGGTCTAATGTTGGGATAGAAAGTGGGCATTATGTGCTAATAATGGCTTAGATTATAAAAAATATGGATTCATGAACTTTTGTGTCATTTTTTTACGTATTTGTACCATAATATTCATGAAAGAGGAGGAACCGTATCCGTTTTGATTTGGCATTAACGAAAATGCAAGTGTGAGACAGTGCTTAAATCGTTTCCCTCCAGGCACCTGGCAAACAGGCTGGCAAGAGCAGCCCGACTGCTGCGGCGGCCGCCCCCGCCGAGAGAGCCGAAAAGAGGGCGGCGTCAGTGTCCCCGCGCCTGTCGCCGCACAAAGTGTTCTCATCCGAGCAGCGGCTAGCTCAAAGGTGAGAATGTTGTGTTGAGTGGGACGTGGCACCGTGCAGACTAACACTGCTTGTGCGGAACGATGATCCTGCTTCACCAAACTTGTACTCGTATATCGACAATTATATATCAACATTATTGCATCGACAATCGTTTATTCGACATTACTGCATCGTGAGAATCTTGGTGGTGAAATTTCTTGCTCTTCCATAATTGCCGGAATTTGGCAAGCTATAAGCATACCTATTAATGTCTCAATAGCTACTTCTCACCTTGAATCCTTGACGACTGTGTTCTTTTAGGCTCACTGGAGAGTAGAGGTGGCAAAATGTGGACCCGAGGACCCGGTCCAAAGAACCAGTCTGGACCCATATGGGTCCAGACCGGTTCCTGGAAATTTTCTGACGGGTCCAACCGGGTCCTTCCATAAACTATACATATTGCACATTATACATTATTGCAAAATATGAAGTGAATGTTTCTTTGCGCACACAATAGCTCGTGAGTATTCCCAGTGGGAAATAGGCTGTTTTACTTGATGCAACTAATGATACCTACAAGTAGTTTGTATTAATTGACTTTTGGGGAACGGGTCCAACTGGTTCCGATTCCAACTAAGACCGGGTCTGACTGGTTCCAGAAATGTCCAGCCGGGTCTGGTTCGAGTCTGGTTCCCAAAATTTTCATCTTTTGCCACCTCTACTGGAGAGGACCATGGTGACGGAGCGCGGCAGCACGGAGGGGAACAGGACCGAGCGCGTCTGGGTCTGATCCGAGCCGCGCCCGAGGGCAAGGAAGCGCCAACGGACACCTCAGGGGTGCGTAGCCAGTGTAAATACGATGGTCTTTTTCAGAGGGAAACTGGAGGAGGGATTCCAGCAAATATCTCAGGAGTGGACTACAAATAACCGATGCCTACTAGACACTATGTAGAGTTTGATTAGCATGCGATGGATGGCAGAGGAGCCTCAGAAGGAATGTCAAGGGTGAGTAGCTTAGTGATGCCAGCGCTAGTTTCCGAACTGAACATGCTCGAAAAAACGAGCTGTTATAATCAAATGACTCATCTATTAAGCGGTTTTCCTAAGCAAACTTTGGTGTGATGATTATGAATGCTGCGTTACAGGAGGTCTTACCTCAGCGTGCATCGGAGCCGAGGCAGGGCGCCATGTCTCCTGTGCCTCGGAAGGCCATTCGATCGCCCGTGTTACCAGATGCGTGGAACGCAGAACGAGAGAAACGAACCACGTAAGTCAGCAAAAAGAGCCACCGAGATGATCATGAATGCACTGATGTTGCCTATAGGCACTTTGCGAACTTTGAATGTCTGATCGACCTCATCAGCATCGGCTAGTTGTTTGTATTTTTTGTGAAAGCTGATCGACTTAACCCTCGCCCCATTGACCTCTATAGTAACCTAGACGGCCAACTCCCGCGCCGCAATCGTTCCCGTATGGGGGCGCAGTGGCGCCACCTGCAAGTGGTCAGAAGTTCCCGGCCCCTGTAGACGGTCTATGTTAACCCGCGCCGTGCTGGTGGCCTGAACTTTCCGCCGAGTGCTGGGGGGGGGCGTTTTCACGCCCCCCCGTCTAACTCGGCTCCTGGGCCACGTAGCGACACGCGGTAAGCGGCAATCGAAAGAGCGTCAAAAATAAGGACGAAAACACTTCGGTCATTTTTTGGGTCAGGTCAAAGGTCAGGTCACCAGAGGTCACCAAAGGTAAAATGTTGACTATTTCAACATTTTGGAAACTGCCAACGGCTATCTCGGGAACCGATAGAGCTACAGCGCCGCGGAAAAGCGCATTCGATAGCCCTTTTACAGACCTTTCTGAGTAATGTTCTCAGATTTGACCTCAGGTCAACGGTTTAGCCTCCAGAGGGCAAAAACTCCAAAAATAGCCGTTTTTACGAAAAACGTTTTTTCGTCAATAACTTTTGACTCATAAGCGCCATGACATTACTTTTGCCAGCATCGTGTTCCTCTCGTCGAGACGCGTCGAATGAACTATTTGTTGACCTTGAAAGGTCATTTTGAAAATTTGACCTCAGGTCAAGGTCATGACCTGACCGAAAAGGGTCATGTTGCATATCAGTCGATCCGTATCGTCGAGCTGAACACATCTGACGTGTTTTCACCGCTCTAGCACGTCTCTATCAAAAGTTATAGCCAAAAAACTGCTGGCGACCGTTCATGACCTGAGATGACCTCAGGGGCACACAGAGGGGTCACAGGTGCATTTTTCCTATTCAGTGTGTCATGTTTACCTATGAACCGATGTTTGAGAGCGTTTTGAACGATATTCGTCCAAAAGAGGCGCATTTCAATTTTCTCCCATTGACTTATAATGGAGAGGTCGCAAAATTGACCTGACCTTAGGTCACAGATATCAAAAATCCGAGATATACATTTTATACATACTGTTACTCATATCAATCGCTGAAAGTTTCAAAGTGATCGTTCAGTCGGTGTAGCTATAGCGAGCCTTTGAACTTTTTCTGAGGTAAGGTCACTTGACGTGACCTGGTGACCTGACCTTGAACGGCCTAGGTCTGAAATTTTCACAACATGTGCGGAAATGATGTAGGAACACGTGTACCAAAAACGGCGGCGCTGCGCGCCGCCGTTTTTGAGATATTCGCGAAAAACCTGAGGGGGGGGCGTAAAAACGCCCCCCCCCCCAGCACGGCGCGGGTTAAGTGGGTAACTTTTGAAGCGGATTTTTATGAAAGATACAGCCTGCGGATGGCTGAAAAGGATTGTTATGTAACTGAACATGCTTTCTTAAGGTATAATGTGCTCGATTGCTAACAGGATGGCTCGAGCCGTGCAATAAAGTGCATTGTTTCAAGTGACCCGGACGCGCTGGCGGTACAAAGCATACCGAAACGTGGAGAGCCTACCTGCAGTAGGTAAGGCCATGCATGACCAGGAACGTACCCACTTCCTACTCAGGTGGCAAAAGATGACCATTCCAGATCGATGGTGATCTATATAAGCCAGGGGTCGGAAACCTACCGCCCGCGGGCCGGATCCGGCCCGCAACCATTTGACGTCCGGCTCGCGTCTGGTAACAGCGACTAACATTGCGTTCCGGCCCGCGGTACCTTCATAAATCGATTTTGTTTTCCGTACACCAGTCTATTAATTACGCTGTCATATTTCTCCAATATTGCCCTATGACTGTAGCAAATTGCAACCATGCCATGCTCCGGCCCGCCGGCTGCTTCTGAATCGCTTAAATCTGGCCCGCACCCCAAAAAGGTTGCCGACCCCCGATATAAGCACTGGCATATTATCAGGGATGGAATTGCAAGTAGACGAGAGGCAGCCGATTATACCTGATTTTAAGGTCCTAGGTCATTGGGTTACCTTCCAAGTCAGGTCAATGACCCAAAAGTCGGGAAAATCGGGACCTGTTAGAACGTCGTAAAGTGTGGCTGATATGGGGTTTATCGGGGGGCTGATCACGAAAATCATGTTAGTTTTGACTACAGATGATGTCTTGATGCATTTATAAGGCCAGGTTGGGTCAGGTCAGGTCAGGTCAGGTCAACCAGTAGGGGTCCTGCCGGGTAGGTATTCGTAGTAGGTGTCAACCACCTCTAACAGCTTCGTCACATGTTACGAAGGCACCAAAACTTTTTCGTAAATGTTCAAATGGTTGCTAAATTGAAAATTCGAAGTTAGTCCAAAAACAAGCCTACAAACATGTAAAACTCGAAAAAGTGAACTGAGGTCATCAAAGGTCGATGACATGACATGACCTTACCTTCAAGTGACCTTGACACCCACCCTAATGCACGGGAGCAACATCATATCACATGTTTGAACGCTTGAAATCACGAAAAGACTGTTAACGCGCGGTTAATGCCAGCCATGTGCCGAATTGCGATTCCGGCCAAACATGGTCTTGAAAAGTAGGTCACAGGTCAAAGAAACTCAGGGTCATGAAACTTTCAGGGCAGGTGTATAATTGATTATCGCGAGGGTATTGAAAGTTTCGTCGCGATCGGCCGCTTTTTACGAGAGTTATTCGCGAAAACTGAGGTGGGGTCCGTTCGACCCCACCTATGCGGGCGAGGGTTAACCCTCGCCCGAATAGGGCGGGGGTCGAACGGACCCCTTCCCCTTCGTTTGCTAATTGATCATCTTTTGCCATCTGAGTAGGAAGCGGGTACGTTCTTCGTCCCGTATGGCCTTACCTACGGCAGGTAGGCTCTCCACGTTTCGGTATGCTTTGTACCGCCAGCGCGTCCGGGTCATTTGAAACAATGCACTTTATTGCACGGCTCGAGCCATCCTGTTCGCAATCGAGCACATCACACCTTAAGAAAGCATGTTCAGTTACATAGCAATCCTTTTCAGCTATCCGCAGGCTGTATCTTTCTTAAAAATCAGCTTCAAAAGTTACCCACTTAACATGGACCGTCTACCGGGACCGGGAACTTCTGACCACTTGCAGGTGGCGCCACTGCGCCCCCATGCGGGAACGATTCCGTGCCGGCCGCGGCGCGGCAGTGGGCCGTCTAGGTTACTATAGAGGTCAATGCCTCGCCCGCACATGGGGGGGGGGGTGGTTGCCACCCCCCCAGGCAGTCTTTCTGCTCTGCACCCAACATTTTTAGAGCTAGAAGGCTGATTTTTCGTATAGCTGCTCGTCTATCCTTTCTTGATGTCCACTGAAAATTTCAAGTTTCTGTGATTTTTGGTTTCGGAGATATGACCTTGTTTTTCAGGTCATGTCATGACCCAAATGGCCAATTCTCAACATCTTGCGTCTGCCATGGGCCTTGTGAGCTTTTGACACCCTGATTTCGGCCTTTTTTGCCAGTCTTACCTCCCACCTATCATGGAACATGTTGTTCGACGATGTACAGGGGTCAAGGTCAGGGTCAAGGTCAACCTAGGTCATCTAAGATAATTGCGTTTTAGGCAAGCTGAATTTACTTTTTGTGAAGTTTTTTGACTGCATTTTTGGTAAAAGCTTCTCAGATCATGATTTCATGTGATATGGACCCAAAAACAATCGGTGCACACATCAGTATACACACAGACACACACAGACATACAAACACATATAATTGACCTTGACCTAACTTGACCTGAAATGACCTCAGCAGCAAAATTCTGGTCGGATAGTGTGACAAAGAGGTTCTAGCTGGCTTGGCACCAGAAAACAGCATCGTCATCGGTATTTGATAAGCAGCGCACTTGATATCCAACGGTGACCCAAAACAGCAACATTTTTTAGTTTGACCTGACCTGGAAGGTCAATGACTGACCTGAGAAGGTAAAACTGGGTATCATTGGATTCGTCTCTTCCCAAAGAATCTTTTTGGTCTTTACCGCTAAGCTCTATCTCCAACAGGAACGAAATGGCGCGGGGGGGTGGCAACCACCCCCCCCCCCCATGTGCGTTCTAGGATGGGAAAATGGCATGTGCGGGCGAGGGTTAATATCGATCGACGTTTTACAAGTGTGATTTCTCCATTTTCTCTGCAGCAGTTCCCTGGAGTCGGAGCTGTCGCCGCCGGCTCGCCTGCCGCCCTCTCCGCGGCCGTCCTCTGCCTCCCCCGGCCCGGCCCGGGGCCCGGCGAGGCGCCGTCCGCTGGCCGCCTGGCCTCGGGAGGACCCGTCCTCGGCCGTGAGGACTCCGCTGCCGTCCTCTCGGCCTCAGCCGCACATCATCGACTCGGAGAGCGCAGCCGGTGGTGGAGGAGGGTTCGACTTTCGGCAGCTGCTGCGGCCGGCCGGTCACGCACCTACTGAGAGTCTGAGACTGAAACGGGGCTGGAGGTCGCGGCCCGAGCTCACGTCGGGTGCTTGTGATGTGTGATGAAAGATGAGGTCACTGTGCAGACATTTTAGACGTCTCCAAGTAGGATGACCACTGAGAACGACGGAACTCAAGTCAGGCAGTTTTGAGTTGGAATGTTTGCGTTATATAATTGTTAATCCAAGCACCCCACGTAAAAGGCAAAATAAATTTTGTTATTTCAGCGATTTCGTGTCTGCATACTTAGGTAGTGAATGGTTGCGGTCCAATATGCTTACACAGTAGGTATGCTATATCTTGCTTTATGCCCCTCCACGTGGTTATGTGTAATGCTCTGTTTGATAATATTTATGCGATTTCATCACGCTCTAGTACAATAAGCAAAAGGCATTTGTTTGTAAAATTATCGTGTATAGTTTGCGTGAAAAAGTCGACATTTTTTATTTTGTTTCAAGAAATTTAGCACCAGTTGTTAGTCACCTTAGGTTTATGACGTGTTTTTTTTTTGTGAGTCGAATTATACATCCAGAGAAAGTAGTCTCAGCACCCCACAGGGTTTTCCTGGTTGAAACTTCAGGTGTGCAATATTTGTTGAACGACCCCGGTTCACTTTTCAAGACGTAATATTTGTTATCGCGTGAGCAGCGTAGCGAAATATTTATAACAGTTGCGTGGCATCGGCACATGTGTATTTTGTATGTATGCTGGAGTTGTTTGAATATGCTGACGACAGAACAACACAGTTCGCCATGTTGTTATAATATATAATATTGAAATAAATGTTATTTTGAAAGACGCAAGTATGTTATCAATGCCTAACATTTATAACCAGCGATAAAGACGTAAGAACCTTATCCCATACATAAGCTGCGACCTTCTTTGCACGATTGGATAAGAGGAGACCTACAAAACTCGAGGCACGCGATGTAAAGTAGCATAAATCGACTCATTCATTCGCAGTGTTTATGAGCCCATCAAGGAATGGTCAAGGGCGCCGAATCTGGCCGTCATATATGTACATATTAGACGTGGATGTATTCGATATCAAGTGGTGTTGACCTCGATTTACAAACTCAAGCACGGGCATAGTAAAAACGCAGCTGACGTTTCTTAACAGCATTGGTTAAATTGCCTTCCGCTTAAAAGACGTATACGATCTGGCAAATGTTCAAACACTTACAAAATCGTTTTTGTTTAAAACTTACGGCAAAAGTGCGTTGAATCTTTCACAAACATGAAGTGAAGGTGAAGAAGCACCAACAGCAAACATGTACTCGGACGATTTCCAAGACGTCTAATACCATCATGTTAAAACTTCTATTTATAGGTAAGACTAGATGCGACATAATAGCTCACGAAATTTGGTAAGTATAGACAGATTGGTAGGCTTCAAACCAATGTACGAGTTAAGTGGTGTTTGCTGACGCTTGGCGTCATTCGTCTCGAGAAGCGTGTATTTCTCCCCCACTCACAATAACATTAGATCATGCCGATTTTAGTCCTTTCAATGACCAAAATAATCAATTAATCATTTTATATGCTGACTTTAGCAACTTTGAGCTGTGATCGAGCTATTTATTTCTCCCGTAAGTACTTCAAATGATGCCAAATTCATTAACGGAAAACGATTGCTTTGAGTGCCTACAGTGCCTTTGAGTGTAATAGTAGGGCATTAGCTAACAGGTATTTGTATTTTCTGTCACGAGCTGGACCTTTTAGCATCTACATGAAAAACAAACCCGTTTTAACTTATCGCAACTATTTTTAGTCGAAATAAAGCCGTAAACAATACGATTTTTGGGGGGACGAGTGGGGGTCGGCTGCTTATTGGCAAATTTGGGTGCCATCGTCTGCTGTGGTGTGTAGCTATCGCCTCTGCGAAATACCATTACCCATTTCTATAAAGCTTTGACGGATCAAGGAGCCAAGACTGAGCTGAGCGAGCAGTGAGCAGTGAGCTCCACCGTTTTAGGAGGTTCATGTTTCTTCCGCCAGGTTCGCTGCTGTCGCTGAGCTGGGCCGCCCAGGTGCCCTGTTCCTCTCTCCCGAACAAAGCCGGGCCAAACCAGGAGGTCTGTGCCTCCGATGGCAACACCTACCCCAGCATCCAGGAGATGGAGTGCCTCGCCATGGAGCGAAGGAAAATGGGACTGGAAGGTGCGTAGTTGCGTAGTCCGTGACAATCCAGCGAGAGGTCCTTTATGCGTAGAGGGATGATAAGCACTGTATGTAGGGATATAGGGAGGATTCCTGCAGGGATGGCCACTCGGCTCGGCCCTGACTGACTGCGCTGACCTCGCTGCTCTACCCACGGCTCCCCGCTCTGCCTCCCCCACGGCCCACGCCCATCCGCCGCTCTGGTACTTCCCCCCCCTCTCTCTCTCTCTCTCTCTCTCTCTCTCTCTCTCTCTCTCTCTCTCTCTCTCTCTCTCTCTCTCTCTCTCTCTCTGCCTCGCTGCCGACTCGCCTTTCACCGTGCCGTGCCTCGCCGTGCTGTGCCGTTCCGTCCCGTGCCGTTCCGTGCCGTGCCGCGCTGCGCCGGGCTGGTCCGCCCATCACCGACCGCTCAGCCCACTCACTCGCAGCCGGCTGGTGGCCTCGGGCCGGGCGGCGAGCTCCATAGCCTAATAAGGAGACAGGCACAGCTGGGCGCCCGCTCGCCCGTGCGGACCGAGAGCCAGAACAGTGGATGGGCTCCAGTCCTATTGTGGGGTGGTTTGGAAGTTAAAAGGAAAGAGACTAGATCATAGATGGTGCATGCAATGGACATTGCTGATTGTGCCAATTTATGCGTTGAAAAGTCATTTTTTCAATCGGTAGATAAATTTTGGATGTCCCGATGCTTACCAGCATTAAATATAAATAGTTGTCATCCCGTTTTTTCTCAGTTGGCCCACACCCGTCTTTTTCGATAACCGCGCTTCAACCCCGGTCCGCTTTCATCTTAAAGACGTCTGTCTCAGGCGTCACCTGTGTCGTCCGTGGTCCGTTTTCAGAGATTTTTATGCGCCACGAGGGCCCGTGTGCCACCGACTCTCGGCTCGTCAAACGGACCAGCTACGGCCGGTTCACGGCCTGGACGGGCCGTACGAACGGCAGCGGTCGACTGGTGACCTCAGTGACCTCTGTGACGTCACCGCTGCTGCTGCTGCTGCTGCTGCTCCTCTGGCGCTGACAGCAGCTGGGCTCGGCCCATACCACACCGTGCCTGTCTGCAGCTCCCGTCATGTTCTGGTCCCTTTGTCTGGAGGAGTTGCAGCCTTCGTGCCCGGGCGAGCCGTGTAGAAACACTTCAATAAGCATGGAGTACATGCAGCTATACAATAAACAACCGTGTGCATACAAAGTTAATAAGCCTTGCACTAGTGGGTTCACGTTCCCAGGCTGTAGTCATTTCCATCTAACTAGCTCACACCCAGCCAAATAACTGTTTCTGGTTATCGTACGCGGTAGAGTTCCGGTTCGCCCCGCCCCGCTCCGGCGCGTTTCTCACGTTCATCTTCACGTTCAGCCGACTGTGGCGGTTGCTGTGTGTATGCTCGACCTAGCTCCGCACCCGGCCGACGCGCTGTCGGCTGGTTGTGCCTACCCCGGGCCATTAGGGCGGTTCGTGTATGTATTTGACCTCGGCCTGCCGCCCCCACACACTGAGTCCTTGAGCGAGCGCGCTGCCTGACCGGCTGCGCCGCTGGGGGGAGGGGCGGGGGCGACCGACGATGAGCGGTGACGTCATGCCCCAGCTGCAGACCGGTCACAGTATAGGGAGCGGCCGGCACTGGTGACTGGTTAGTCGAGCGAGGGTGACGTCACCCACATACTGCGATGACAGGAGCAGGGACCATCGCGATTCTCTTTTTTTTAGCTTATCTTTTGTCTGTCAGCCTGTTCCTCCAGCTCTCCGTGTCCGTGTCCTTTTTTCTTCACTTCTCTTCTCTTCTCTTCTTTTTTTCTTTTCTTCTCTTCGCTATCTCTCTCTTTCTCTCTCTTTCCCTCTCTCTCTCTCTCTCTCTCTCTCTCTCTCTCACTCTCTCCGGGCGATGACCGAGGAAGGGAAGTAACCGATGAGGTATGACCAATGGCCAGATGGCCACAGCATGGGCACGAACATCGTCTCTGGGCAGCTATAACAACATCCCTTCCCTACCAAGCTGCATGGAACATTGACTCTCCAAGTGCAGCTGCAGGCTCTGCAGGCTCTGCAGCCGCTGCCGTAAGTCGTAACTTAAACGGCGTGTGGCCACTGGAGGATGAAGCTAATTCAGCAATGCTACATGCTAGTGAGCATGGAGGCCAGTCCTCTGTGCTGTCACGCCACTGCACTGTATCTGTATCTGTCTTCTTTTTGCAGCTGGCAACCATACATGCGGATAATGCTGGGTTTTACCCGGAAGAAACGTCTCGTGCTGTCACGAACCATGGAGGCAGTTGAATATGTAAATTTAACATTCTAACAGAATTATTTGAGACCGTTACTGCAGACTTTTATGGACAAGTCACAAGTTTTCAACCAGCGGCGTCTTCAAACAACTTGTCTGAATCGAGCCTGTTCCTGTTTACTTTGTGAAATCCAACGCAAACATTGAACCACGGCAATCGCTCTCAAGGGATGAGTTCTAATTTATTTGCATGAAAGGACTCAAAATAGACTGCGCTATCAAACTGCTATCTCGGATTTTCAAAACTTTGAAAATTTTTAAAATTATATATGTACATATATATCGAAATTCAAAATTTATATTTTTATCTCTTTTCAAAAGTATTTCACTTTTCGAAAACACCGGATTATATGTAACATGCTTATGACTTACTCTAGCAAGTTGTAGCTAGATATCTTCAAAAAATAGTCAAGTTATACGAATTATAGCATAACTTTTACAATTATAAATTTCTAAATCAAATTTTCAGTACGCATTTGACATTGTACACTAATATAAACAGCACCATCGTGTTCCTGAGCTCAAACTGCATCCAATACACTTTTTGTTGAAAAATTTCAACTTTAAAATTTGACCTTTTTTACCTGAAAGTGGTCTGCTGAAAAAGCTGAAAAGCTGAAACCTAAGCTAAATTTAGCTCAAAATGACCTCGAATAACATAAACGACAACGAAATCGAAATATATGGCCTTAATGGACCATACGTAAAACATGTGTCACGAGACCGATATATAATATAAGATTTCAGTGACCTGTGATGACCTGACCCTGACCTGAAAATCAAAGTACAAGCTTGGTACCCTCAAGGGTATCTAAATCATCTGTTGACGAGTGTGTAAAGCAAACATGGGCCTGACCTAACTTGTAAGGCGGCAGCCAGAGCCCAAAAGGTGAACAAGAAAAACATCGATAGTTGTTATTTTGACATGCCCTGTGACGTCATCAGTGACCTTGAGTTCAATTAAATTAGGTTTCGCTCAACAGTTTTTCCGGCGCTTTCAGACGCTTTTTGAATTTTGATGATCGGCCCAGTAAGTTTCGGAGTTAGGAGGGGGCTATGAATAGCCCCCTCCAGTAGGGCACGTTATACGCAGACCCCAGTGGGGCGCGGGTTACAGGGTGTCAAATTAATGCAGCTGAAGGTAATGCAAGTTTCGTGTTGATACGTCAAGCGGTTTAGAAGATATTGTAGAAAAATGGGAGGTGGGGCTCTGTAGAGCGCTCCCCCCGTCCCCCCGGCATGCGCGGATTTAATTGGTCAAATTGACGATTGGGATTAAAGCAATGTCCTCTCGATGTCCGATGATGGGAGGAGCACAAATAGTAATGCCAAACATTGATGTGTGCAAAGCTGTTGCAGAATAACTCCCTGCAAAATCTGTCCACGCTGACGATTTTTGACCTTTGTAGGTCAAGAAGTGAACCTTAGACCAAATTTGAGACGTTTTTTTTAAGCGTTACATAATCTGTCGAATTACGCTTCCTTGGGATGCTGCAGATGTATTGGTTCACTTCACGAATTATGCACAATTTTGTGCAAATTTAAAAATAAGGAAAAAATCAAATGCCAATGCTTAGCTTTTCTGACATCCAGTGACCTCAATCTGACATCCATTGACCTCAATAAGGACCCGTGCGGAAAAATAATCAGCATGCTTCGGAAAGTACCTACTCATCGAGAGCTATCTGTAATATTCACGCCTTTCTATTTTAAGGTTATCGGTTATGGCCAACCACGCCACCGCCTCCCCCCCCAAAAAAAAATGAAGTGGATCGAGACCTTCACCCGGGCGTCGAGCGGAGCGGAATTAACCCGCGCCCCGTTGGGCTCTGCCGAGCAACGCGCCCTGTTGGGGGGCGGGGGAAGGGGGGGGGCAATTTGGCCTCTCCCCTAAGATCTCGAGAACCACGCAACCTAGCGACAAGCGGTAAACGGTGTTGGATAGCCCCATCAGGGAACTACCTTGTGACCCAATTTTATTGACCTAGCTCAAACCGATGACGTCACAGGTCAGGTTAAAGGTCGAATTTTCGCATATTTTACAGGCATTTCAAGAAATGCGTTGTAAAATCGAGTAAAATGCATTTCATTGAAAATCATCGATGGGGAAATGTTCTTCAAACACATATTTTGCTGTTTGAGGTCACTGATATCAGGTCAGGTCACAGAGGGTCACAATATGAAAATATCATGTGATGCATGTATTATGGTCCATTTTATATGCCAAATACGATTATGTGGTTCAGGCAGCCTTTGGGGTCAGTTAGGATTATGTTCTGTCTGGTGAAGGTCAGGTCAAATCAGGTCAAATTTCAAAGTTGATATTTTTGCAAAAATGGGTATCGATTAGATGCAGCTTGTCACGGGGAGTTCAATGGTGGTCTTTGTTTTGCCCTACGTGGTCTAGACTCGCTAAAAATTGAGTTCAAAAATTTGACGTCATAATTTTTGAACAGCTTTTTTCGCTATAACTTGGCCAAAAAAGGAGATATCGATCTGTAATTCGGTATGTAGGTATATAGAAGAGCGCAGGGACTGTCCCATATATTCCGTTTTTTTTCGAAATTCGGAAACCTTTTATGGACTTTTTTCAGCTTTTCTAAAAAATCATTTTTTTATCTATGGGAACAAAAAACAAAATTTTGAAAACCCGAGATAGCGGTTTTGTAGCACCGCTTTTTATCTAAATGACCATATAGAGAACTTTGAAATTGCTTGGTAACTATAGATTTGATGAGCGTTTCAAGATTGCATGTTTTTTGCTCATTTTTGCTCGAACATGACCTCAGTTTGACCTCAATAACTCCTGACCTAAGGTGACCTAAGACTTGAAATTTTGTGTGAATGTGTCAAGTTGATGCCCGGGAAGGTAATAAAAATTTGGCGGCGCTGCGCGCCGCCGTTTTCTTGCTATCAAGGAAAAACCACAGGGGGGGGGGGCAAATTGCCACCCCCTCCCCCAACGGGGCGAGGGTTAATTATTTCGTTCCTTATCAGAAATCAGCAGGCAGAAGACAAACAAAAGTTGTTTCAGTTGCGAGTGTATTTGGACTGGACAGAGCTGGGTTTGATCGTTAGCGTTGTTACTGCGTTCAGCTGTGTTCAGCTGTGGTCGTTTCGGATCGGCGCGGTGGTCGGCGCGTCCATGAGAGAGCGCTTAGTACTCCTCGCCCTCATCCTCGGCCTCGGCAGAGTCGATGCCGACCTCCTCGTAGTCCTTCTCGAGGGCGGCCAGATCTTCACGGGCCTCGGAGAACTCGCCCTCCTCCATGCCCTCGCCGACGTACCAGTGCACGAAGGCGCGCTTGGCGTACATCAGATCGAACTTGTGGTCCAGGCGCGCCCAGGCCTCGGCGATGGCAGTGGTGTTGGACAGCATGCAGACGGCGCGGGAGACCTTGGCCAGGTCGCCGCCGGGCACCACGGTCGGCGGCTGGTAGTTGATGCCGACCTTGAAGCCGGTCGGACACCAGTCGACGAACTGGATGCTGCGCTTGGTCTTGATGGTGGCGATGGCTGCGTTGACGTCCTTAGGGACGACATCTCCGCGGTACAGCATGCAGCAGGCCATGTACTTGCCGTGGCGCGGGTCGCACTTGACCATCTGGTTGGCCGGCTCGAAGCAGGCGTTGGTGATCTCTCCGACGGAGAGCTGCTCGTGGTAGGCCTTCTCAGCCGAGATGACCGGAGCGTAGGTGACCAGCGGGAAGTGGATACGCGGGTACGGCACCAGGTTGGTCTGGAACTCGGTCAGGTCCACGTTCAGGGCTCCGTCGAAGCGCAGCGAGGCCGTGATGGAGGAGACGATCTGGCCGATCAGCCGGTTCAGGTTGGCGTAGGACGGACGCTCGATGTCGAGGTTGCGGCGGCAGATGTCGTAGATGGCCTCGTTGTCGACCATGAAGGCGCAGTCCGAGTGCTCCAGGGTGGTGTGGGTGGTCAGGATGGAGTTGTACGGCTCCACCACGGCCGTGGCCACCTGCGGCGCCGGGTAGATGGCGAACTCCAGCTTCGACTTCTTGCCGTAGTCGACGCTGAGACGCTCCATCAGCAGCGAGGTGAAGCCGGAGCCGGTGCCGCCGCCGAACGAGTGGAAGATCAGGAAGCCCTGCAGGCCGGTGCACTGGTCGGCCAGCTTCCTGATGCGGTCCAGTACCAGGTCGACGATCTCCTTGCCGATGGTGTAGTGGCCGCGGGCGTAGTTGTTGGCGGCATCCTCCTTGCCGGAGATGAGCTGCTCCGGGTGGAAGAGCTGGCGGTAGGCGCCCGTGCGCACCTCGTCCACCACAGATGGCTCCAGGTCGACGAACACGGCGCGCGGCACGTGCTTGCCGGCACCGGTCTCGGCGAAGAAGGTGCTGAAGGAGTCATCGCTGTCTCCCATGGACTTGTCCGAGGGGATGGTGCCATCGGGCTGGATGCCGTGCTCGAGGCAGTAGAGCTCCCAGCAGGCATTGCCCATCTGGCAACCAGCCTGGCCCACATGGATGGAGATGCACTCGCGCTGAAACAGATCGGTGCTGTGGTTAGGAAGTGCTTTAACGATAGATGTGTGGAACTGGACAATGCCCGATGCTAAGACGCAGACCCTAATTACAGGAACTTCCATTGCCAGACAAATGTCATTGCTCGACGTTGTTCAGATTATATCGCTCGTTTCAACTCTCAATATTCGGCGCAGAATTTCTTGCAACATTTACTAAATGCCAAGACACCATGGCAATTGGCAACACACTAGCATGCCCCTGCTGCTCCTCCACGGGCGACAGTCGCAACGTCCCCCAAGCTGCATGGGCCATCGCAAACCCTGGACTTTGTACCAAGGTTCGATACCGATAAGATAGAATGCGTAACCGTCAGGCAGCTTATTTCCCGCTACCGCCCGACACAAAAGAACCAGCTACCAGCCAGCTGCACCGGCTGCCGCGGGACAGGTTATTTCCTCCGCCTAGTAACGGCATTCGTGCGGCTCGGCGCGGCGGCCCGTTAGTCCGTCCGTCCCGTCCCGGCTCTCCAACGAGCACAACGGCCGGCCCACTTTCACCAGCACCCTTCCCTCGACGAGACGGGTGTCTGGCATCGGTACCTAATGAGTGACACGTGCCTCTGAAAGATGCCATAGCCTCCAGACTGATGCAGCGAGGACACGCCCAAACGTGGCGCCAGCCTTTATCGATTTTTCACGGAGCCGCGCCTCGTCGGAGGCCTGCCCAGCTGTACCCTAAATAGCTGCTTCCTAGCCTGACAGACAGATACTGAAAAGGTAACTGGGTTGATATTGATAAGGCCAGCTAGCATATAACTTAAATTTTTCGGGTAGTGCCCAGTCTCTAAAATTCCTACAATTTTATTAGCATAAAAACCTTTATCTCCCTAGTCCCTAGCACGTTCACATATTCTTTATGAATAACTTCGTAGCAAAATTAGAACCGGACTCACCATGATTGCTGGAGTTGATTTGTTCTGTCGTTAGAGGATCGACCCTAGGCTGGGTTACGGAGCCACGCGATCTAACCTCTTCCGACCGAAACTTTCAAATTCTCTGACGGCGGCGCAGGGCGCGGCCCTGCTTTATAGCCTCAGCGCTGCCGGCCTCTGATTGGCTGGCTGCAGCGGACGTGGCGGCGCCCGCGGCCGTGGGCGTCGGCGGGCGGCAGCGGCGGGCGGCGGCGCGGCGGCGGCGCGGCGGCGGCGGGTCGCCCACCGACTCTCTGGGTTAGGTAATGGCCGGCCGTGCTGCACCACAGGCCACGGCCGGCCGACCGGCGCCCGGCGCTGCATGCGGCGAGTGAGGACGGCGCTGTGGGCTCGGCACTGAATTTGTAGCCATGGCGGTATGTTCGTTACTTTTGAATTATGCTGTTCCGCACTCGAATAGTGAAATTCTGATAGAGGAATGTTCCAGCATCAAAGTCGACACCGTCTACCGGGCAGCACTGATAAGATGGGCATTGGGCAAGGTGCATGGTAGCTGGTGCCCTATAGACGCTGTTAAGTTTGATCGCAATCCGCGCTGTTGTGATTTGATCTACCATCATGCACCAAGCAGCTTTCTACTCAGGCTCTCGTGTTTCTCTCATGTCTGGTGCTGTGACTGCCTGGGCACTGGGGGTATCTTTTTGAACCTCGACTTCGGAATGGCGCAGCTTCCTCTAGTAAAAAGACGTCGCTATAATTCATTCTTCTTCGAGCATCACTTTTTTACATGCATGATGTTCATAATCGCTTGCATGCATTCTGCTCGATCGACTTCACATTCATTATACAAGGTTTACAGAACTATATAAAGTTTGACTGAATGGTGGGCATCAGGGTCAGCCAAAACTGGCATCTCTATTAGGTAATCTAGGGCGGCTCTACGGGGTTTGGATCGGCCACCTGTGTGTATTTGGACAGCTGAAGACGCCATTTACTAACGCACAGCTGGCAGCGGTTCACTAAACACCCCGCCGACAGTGAATGACCTGCTGACCGCGACCTGATGCCCTCGGGGCGTGCGGCGGCCGGCGGTCGGGAGGCACGCCCCTCAGCCGTGCTCAGCCCGCCCGGCAGTGACGTCACGGCGGCCGCTGCAGCTGCGGGCTGGAGGTCCGGCTGGTCTGGTGACTGGTGAGTCATACGGGCGGATCCCGCACTGAGGCCGGATAATGGTCTCAGCCGGCAGCGCTGCAGGACTCTGGTTTGGACAGAAAAGGCAGCCCGGCAACGACTGATACCAAACATGGGTGGGTTGAGGAACAAAACGGACCGGGTACGGTGCAATACAAACGGTAAAAACTGCGCGTACATTAATATTGGCGCTAAAGGTCGTTCTCCACGCTACATGTTTTGCGCGTTTTTAATGACGTTTTAACGCTTTTTTGATGTTTTGCGAGTTTTTCATGATCCGGCGTTGATCTGTACCATTAAATTACACGGTGCCATCTCCACGGCGGAAGCTTTGTCAAAAATCGAAAAACGCGTGGCTTCATAAAATCAAAAAACTGCAAAACTCGTAAAACGCGTCAGTTGTGTCATGCAAAACTCGTAAAACTTTTAAAAAGCGCAAAACTCTCATTTGTAAAAACGCGCGATTTTATCCAAACATTTGGATCGAATGAAAGTTTTCCGGTTTTTGAGAAGGCTAAAGAGGTAATCATTCTGCTATTAATACCATTTTACGGTGAAATAGATGCAATGGAAAGTGTGGAAAGCGATGAAACGCAATTTGATTAAGCCAATGATCATGGCAAGTACTCAGACAACCATACCAATAACTTCTGTTGCTATTCCAACGATGTGGATGTCAAATAATTACATAGTGAGTCTATGGATAACATTTATTACGATATCAGATCATTTCAGATAATTGATAATTAACTGATGTCATAGCGGTGATAACAATACGTGATGATACCCCTATAACTATCTTTACAGCGAAAATCGACGGGTTAATAGAAGCCGTGCGCCAGATACCTGCCCTGTGGGAAGAGAGGGCCACGGCATACAGCGCACGAAGGGCGGAGAAAGATGTTCTTTACTCTGAAATTGAAATTGTTCTGAAATTGTAATTGTTCTGAAAGACTGACAAACTAAAACCGTAAAAAGCGAAAAACTCGCAAAACTCGCAAAAGCGTCTGTTAAAAAGCGAAAAAAGCGCAAAACTCTCGTTTGCTAAAACGCGTAAAAGCCGAAAATGTTTACACGTGGAGACAGTACTTAAGGCACTTTTGTGTCAGCCACGGAGCGATTTATACTGGACTTCAGCGTAGTGAGGTAAAAACACTGAAGAACGACGGACCTGCCGAATTCAGAGTTTGTTAAGAGATAAGTCTCATTTAACGTATAAATTTATTCATATGCATTCAATTTAACAATAAATTTTACACCCCTCCATTCTGTCGCAAAATGTTGGCCGAACTGAACCGAAAGTAACCCTTTGTTGTCGTTTTTTATTTGTTTGTTTCGGCGCTCAGGTTCGCTGGTTGTTCTGGAGCGCCAGCAGCTTCTGTCGTTTCTCCTCCATCAGTTTGTCTCGGTGTTTGTGGATGTAATCGGAGACGTTCGGCGGCCCGATGATGACACACGCCGACAGCGCCGACCTGTAGATGTTCATGTCGGTTGCTTCATACCTGCCGTAAAGAGGGACATAAGATGGTCAGATGTGAACAGGGTAGTGCAGAGCGGAGGCGTCGACGTTTAAAGAGTAAGCAGTGTTTTAATAGGAAGCTTCTTAGGGCATGGTTCGATGACATGCTACTATAATAAATGAAGTAGGTATGATTTAGTCTTTAGAGCAAATGTTTGCAAAAAAATGTCAAAGGATGTACTTTTTCGCCACTCAACTGCAGTCATCATACAGTTTTTACTGCTTGTTTCAACAAAGATCCATGCCAGCTAATTTAGAACCTAACAGTGGACCGATCGCTTAAAACCGCTGCGAGTTGGGACCAAACTTTAGTGGTTGCTATCAACGGCTTTGTCATGACGTGATTTAGTTGTGTAAGCAGCCCAGAGTTGCAAAAAGGTTGCTTACCATTCGCTGTTCTTGTCGTCGTAGCACTCCACGTGATAGATGGTTGTAACGCCGTTGAATCCGCCGATGGCGAAGATCATGTCGTCGATCACCTCGATGGCGAAGTTTGACCTCGGATTATACATATCCGGAATCGGAGTCCACGTTTCGGTTTCGGGGTTGTACTTTTCTCCACTGCACATTCTCGAGATTCCATTGAATCCGCCTGCAACACTCGTAAATTTGAAGGAAGCATTCAGTGTACTTAATTGATATTTATCACTCCTTGACAAACCAAGAGCTAAAGCTCATATTGAAAGTGACCAACATTGTGAGGACCAATATTCCTTCGCTCCAACACCAAATACGGTGTAAGCTATGCCTCATTTCAAATTATCGGATTCAGATCTTTCAGCAACTATTCATTCATTCATACATTCAACAATTAGCAATTCATTCATTCATTCATTCATTCATTCATTCATTCATTCATTCATTCATTCAACAACTATTCATTCATTCATTCATTCATTCATTCATTCATTCATTCAATCATTCATTCATTCATTCATATAAACCAGACACTAGACAGTATCCCGTGAGCACAGCTTATAGGTTATCGACATAATAGCCGTTTTCACGACGGCCATCTGGTACACATTTGGTGCACATCTGGTACAGATTAGGTGCAGATTTGGTCAAATCAGGTTCAGTGTGTCTCTTAGCAGCTATCAGCTAGGCTAAGAGACATTAGGCTAGGCAGCTAGCTATCAGCTAATTGCTTATATGCCTGCTTTGTCATATTATCAGAGAGCATCATCGATTAAAACACTGAAATAAATTCCTGTATGTTTGATGCAGTCTTGCAATGCAATCCAGCCATCCAAGAAACTTTGCGCGAGACGTTTTCTTGGATGGTTTTCTTGGATAGCTTGATTTCATCGAGGGCTTCTGTTTTAAAGAAAATTTGTAAGCTTTGCTGTACCTACTGTTAAGTAATTAGAACTGCCAGTATGTCAGTACCTAACGTGTAGTTAATGTTTCTGTATCTTATTTATGCATATTTTGGCCTTTTTTAAGCAGATAACGAACGATATTAAGAAACATACAGGAAATAATATCTAGGACTCTACCGCGACGAAATATTTCTATCTCGAGTTTTCAAAGAATTTCCTACATGCCGGGGTATGTCTTAAGCACAGCACGAGCCGGGCAGTAAAACTATGACCAAGAAACTGTCGGTGTCAAAATGCCATGTTATTTGATAGGCCGGGCAGGAAACAAAAGTTTACTGCCCGAGTTTACTGCCCAGGGCAATGACCTCTAAACTACAGTTTATCGCATTAGCCCAGAGGTATAATCGGTATAATTGATAGGGAATGTATAATTGACATCATTGTTGCATGATATTTGCCGCGTAAAAGTAGATAACTAACATTTTTTTGTTAAAAAAAAATATCTGCTCTGCTTATTAAGGGTTTTGAAATGCTTAGTATTGGTTACAAAGCCAAAATTATGCCAAGATATGCTCCTATTAATCGAAATCCGTTATCGCTTGTTTCTTATCTTCATTTGACATGTCCACTGATACATTGGGCCTAAGTTATTGCGTTAGTATTTGACAGTTGTAGTCCTTTCCTCGAAACAAACATGTAAAATATGGAAAATATAATGTATTTCACGAAAGTTTAGCCATAGGTCATCAACAAAGTACGATTACATAAATAAAGAAAAGATTCTTGCAAGAGCACTGGAAAATTCACGTTTAATCACTAGGAATATTACACCTTCTACCTTCTTCTTGTTCTGATGTCGTGGCAAATTATTCATGCATGATGTTCCTAGGATATCCAATTGTTGTGCCATTCTGAGTTGATATTTTCAGACGCGATTCTTTTTGAAGTGAGGTATTTTGATGCATTTTCTTCTATAAATTTCCTTTAAAGCTTTACCCACAGCAGTAGCGCAATCACTGTTCGGAAATTATGGACAAAACAATTGTATAAAAGTGTCACCAAAAGTCAAAACCTGTCGAAACTACTTAGCATGTATGCGGCATGTAGGAAAAATCTTACTGACCTCAGCCGTGCGAAATTATTTGGAAACTCGGTTTGCAAAATTTGACTCCGGCCCTCGTGCTTCGCACTCGGGCCTACGTCAATTTTGCAAACCTCGTTTCCAAATAATTTCGTCGGCCCGGTCAGTAATATATATTCATGCACTCGGCCAAGGCCTCGTGCATGAAATCCTTTGAAAACTCTCGATAGAATTATTTCGTTTTCGCGGTATTATATAATACTGAACGAG